TAGCCTGTGTACATCCGTTTCTCACCCCTCAAAAAATCGGGGAGAGAACGTCTGTGATTTGCCGTTGCTAATCGTGTTCTGACATAAATTTGCATATATAATGTGACATGCACGTTAGAGCTTGAGCAGGCACGTTAAAAGGTCAAGTAAACAATGGACCGTTCCGCAACATAATTCGAACATAATGCCTAGAGATTTTGTTTTTGTTTCAGCCATTCAATTCTAACTTCGACCGTGGTTTAAATTATTGTTTCTGCCCATTGGTCTATGCCGTGCTCTCTCTATCTTCGGTAGTAGGTGTCTCGTCAGAATGTGGTTTTCCTGTAATTTGCGTCATACAATGACTTCCATCAACCGTACTAATATCTTCTTGTGAAGATTACGTTGTCCTCGGCAGTTTTGAAGCTGTAACTCTGGCGCTTTCGCAGGCTATTATGAGATGTAGAATACAAACTACTAAGCCCCCTTATCTTCTTTAGCACTTCTGACAAATGCAAGTTTTGTTCGTGAAGATTGGCGGCGAATTCTAATGACATTATAATTCCACATCAATTTTAAATTTACCCTGACCGAATATAAGATTAAAGCCTAAACTTTTACAGAGAATTTGAGAGCAAATAACATATTCAATTTGAAGCATTCTACATGTTCCAGTGGTTTACCATGAAGGCTTATATTTCACTCGTGTGACCAACTTTACACGCCATCTATTGATTTTGGCCAATCACAAGTCTTGAAATACAACAGCCAATCAAATTCTTCCTCAAAATCTTGAGGAACTCTACGTGACCTCGGAACACGATTAGCAACGGCAAATCACAGACGTTCTCTCCCCGATTTTTTGAGGGGTGAGAAACGGATGTACACAGGCTATTTTTCTCCTTTTTTCTCTAGATTCCATTATTTATATATCAAGAGAAGGGGAATGGGAACCAGAAATTGGAGACTATCTTGGTGATCTCACATCCGAGACAGGCGATAAACACATCGTCACCTTTGTTAGTGGGGGGCCTAAAAATTACGCTTACGAATTAAATGATCAAACTACGTGTTGTAAAGTAAKAGGAATAACGCTTAATTTTAGAAATGCGCAAATGATTAACATGGAAACAATTTCGCARATGGTTCGAGGTATTGGAGAAGATGTAATTACTGTAACAAACCCATGTAAAATAGTACGTGACCCAAAAACAAGAAGCATTCTTTCGAGAGCTGAATCAAAAGATTACAGAGTCGTATATACTAAACGGGTTATTGTAGATCATTATAACACTTTGCCTTATGGATATTGAGTAGTTCGACACTTCGTGTCATACAATCCTAAGGAGTGATTATGCGAAATAGCAAATAAAGGTATAAATGGGGCAGCCTCATGTGTGCGTTTCTTCATTTTAATAATGGATCCGCGACTTAAACATCCCTTTCCGATGGTTGTTTCAGGGCCTACCATGTGTGGCAAAACATCATTTGTGAGAAAACTTCTAGAGCTGGGCGAAGAAATGAATGAAAATTCTCCTGAAAAAATATTTTGGTGTTATGGAGAGTATCAGCCCGTCTTTGAAGAGATGCGGAGAACTATATCTAATATTGAATTTATTGAAGGTCTGCCAAGTAATATGAATGATTTACTTGATCCTGCTGTGAGAAATCTAATTGTTATAGACGATTTAATGAACGATACGGGAAACAGAAAGGAAATGACCAATCTAGTTACTCGTGGTTGTCACCATAGAAATACAAGCCTTATTCATATACAACAAAATCTATTTCCTAAAGGAAAAGAGAATCGAAATATAAGTTTGAATTGCCATTATATCTGTTTGTTTTCAAACCCACGAGATAGAGCTCAAGTTTCTCATTTAGCACGACAAATGTATCCAGGTCACGCCAAGTTTCTTCAAGAGGCTTACGCCGACGCCTGCTGTGCACCCCACGGCTATTTATTTATAGACTTAAAGCAAGCAACACCAGAGTCATTTCGCTTGAGATCCAACATATTTCCTGATCAAGTACAATACGCTTACGTCAAAAAAGGATAAAAGGCGAAGCAAAGAACTCCTTCAGTCATTTCAGTATGTCTCAGTGTATGAGAAACAACATTGATTTTCTACGTGTGCTTAAAAGGTGTAACACTAAACAACGAAGAGCTTTGCTACAGGCTGCTGATAACAAGCTTCTTAAAGCAATCTGCGAGTGTGTACTCAACGTTTTACGTGGAACTGTTAAACTTAATCCTTCTCAAAAAGGAAAACTTAGACGCCATAAAGAATCTCTGAGACAATTAGCAGACAAACGCGTACCCCTGAGTAAAAAGAAGAACGTTCTTGTGCAAAAAGGAGTGAAACCCGTAAAGAGGCTTTGGAGGAATATAAGAGCGGGAATCGTGGAGCGCAAAGTGAAGGTGAAGATTTCGACTATTCCCCAGCAAGAGGAAAAACAAACAAGACTAGGAGGGGGAAGAATACAGCCACAACAAAACGTCCATGGATAAAATATTGATTGAATAAAAAAAAACAAAAAAAAAAACAACACATAATGTTACAAAATGTATTTTTATTGATTTCTAAATAAAATACTCTGAAATAATATTACTGTGATAATTATTTTATTTCATAACGTGATACTGATATTTGTTGTTTTACCCCTGTTCTATTTTTAATTACGTTTGGATAATGACGTCTAGCAAACTCGTAAACAATTGCATCATTTATTCTTTTTCTTTTACTAAAATGATTGACAATAGTTTGCATTGAAAATCCACGACATCGATGAATCAAGTAATAAATACAGTACTCTCCACAGACACTAGAATCTAAACTTTGTAATACTTTATGATTCATTATCACATAATTCGAGTTTCTATCTAAAAATTCTTTAAATCGTCTTGTATATAGTTCTGGAGCTTGACCGTAAGAATCCCAAAACTCAGCTTTTCCTTCCTCTGTGAAATACATTGCCAGCCAGTGACTTCCTGGAAGTTTGCTTGAATCAGCATTAATTATATAGGCACTTGGATAAGACGGTACACTGTCTGGAAGTTGATCTGACGCAAACACTCCTTGAAATTGCGTTTTCGTGACTTGGTCATTTTGCATGATTGTCTCTAATTGAAGGGTGTTCATGTTAGTTTGTAAAGTCAAACAAAACGTTCCTTTGATTATCAATTTCGATCAGGTTTTCAAACTCAGCTAGAACTATGATGTTAGTACTTCGTGGTAAGGTTTTGGCAAACTGAAGCTCAAGGCGAAGATTTCCCTTTCTTATCAAGTTGTAGTGCGCGCCGTTGCTCAAGTCAGGTGTCAAATCAAAACAAAATATACCATAGCCTTGATTGAACTCGTCTCGACTTATACCATTTCCAAGATCCTCAAACATCATCCCAGTTCCTGTGAACATTGACTGATAGGCAGAGATAAAACCTAATCCTTTTGCTGGATCAAAACTTGGTTGAAGTGGTTTACCAGGTAACGGCTCACCGTCCACGTAGACTCCTAGGAAACTGAGGTCGTTAGTTTTAAAATTGAAAGGATTTTTCTTGTAGTTTCCTGAATAAGCATCGTTGTCTACCATGGTCACGTAAATACATTTTGGAACTTGACCGTTAAAAACGTTATCTTGAGAAGTGTTTAAGGCTCCGTTTGGCACAGAAAAAACTTTGAAATCCATTCTCTTGATAGGATACTTTGCTGTGGTTTTTCGTAGGGCCTCAGCATGACCTAGCATCGCAGAGGGGCTAACTTTTTCTTTTCGAATGAACAAAATTACATCTTCAATTACTACTTTGAAGTTAGCACCTGCAGCAGAAGAAAGTAGACAAAATTCATTCTTTGATCGTGTAAGTTTCAGTCTAAGATCCACGCCATTAATCATTAATCGGTTAATATTGAAGATATCCTCGTGAATTCTGCCAATCATCTCTACGCTTTGTGAATCCTTTGTATGTTGATAGCGTGCTTTCAGTCCTGTGTTTGCATCTTTATCATCTTTAGTCGGGTCGGTTGCATCAAAATACCCCGCTCTATCTTTGTAAAACAATGCTGCGGTTAATTGAGATTGTTTAGCGGCCGGTCCATAGCTGAGAGTAGTTTCCACAATGGCTCGGTAAGGGTTTGTATTCGTTGCTGACGAAATCAGTTTTCCATTAAGCGAAACATCGACTTGGACGAACAAAGCATCCAAGAACAAATTCACTGGTCCTACTTTTGTATCGGGGTCTAAATCAGTACCGTCAGCTTTAGTGATTTTTGCTTTCACATACAGTTGTGTTCGAGCCAGATCCATATATTCTGTACCTGCTCCACTGACTAAAAACTCAATTGGGCCATTATCGGAAATATTTGTGAGGGGATGATAATCAATAAACCTTCCGGCCTCAATTCCCGTTTGCGTTGGTGGCACAAAAAATAAATCGAGTTCCGTTTTTGAACACTCAGTTGAGTCATGGTGAACAAAGGCCATTTTCCTTATCCAAAGATATCGTTATGCGCTGTTTTCGTTCTTTTTGCTTGCTTTGACTTTCCAGCTTTTGCTTTTGGAGCAGTTGTTTTCCTTCTCTTAGTAGTCTGAGACTGACTGACTGGAGCTTTAGAAGCACGGCGTTTTATACCCTTTCCACTCTGTCCCAGTACACCTCTTGCTGTGCTGATAGCTTTGTTTTTCAAACTATTCCTTGCCTCCAAGGCACGCGATTTAGCCGATGATTTTATATCTCGACCTGACATGACGTCACTAGCTATATTCAGACCTGTTGATAACGCTGTTTTACCAATCGCCTTTGCTCCATCTCTAATGAAAGGAACGGCTGATCGAAATAGTCCCTTGAGAAACGATCCAATACCATAACCTCGTTGAAATCTTGCACCGTGAAAAGCAGGAAGATTTCCTCCATGTTGGGCTTGCCTCATGTAATAGGACTTGAATAGATCTGGATTAGCTGCGTGAATTTTTCTAGTCATGTTTACAAGTATAAAGGTCTGTGCTGTCTAAAGTGTAGTTGCACGATCACTTTCCCTGACTCAAATGGTACGTTTTGACCGGTGTCATCCTTTATATTGATTTGAATCCTATCAATTGTTTTTCGGCTAACAGGAAAGAACGGGGGGTCCTGAAAGTTTCGTGAGATAATCTCCCCGTCACTTCCTTCAACATTAAGTATACGCAATAAGGGAACCATGCTGTCACCAACAATTTGAGCATCAATAACATCACTATAGACGTATAGAGACGAAAGGACTCCATCTTTGTTAAAAACATATGAAGCTGTTGTTTTCTTTGTAATAGTAGGCTTCGACATTCCAAATCCTAACAGAGAACTAAGTTGATCGCTAAAAACAATGGAATAGCCTTGTGAAGGCGATATTGAAAAACGACGGGTAATCTTATTAAACGAAATGTCAATACTATCTCTTGTTTTCGTGTCATCGATAGCGCCTTTAATTCCTTGAATGATTTCGCTGGCTGAAGTATAATATCCTTCCTCTAGAATATACACAGAAGGAATGCCTGACGGATTGAAGACGTAGAAGTGGTTTTCTTTATAACGCACATTATTCCATGTTCTAGGATATTGAATTTCTTTCAAACCGACCTCCCAATCGCCATTTAACTCTATAGGTTGTGGAGCTCGTACACTAAAATCGGACAATGTGTTGTTTGGAAAAATATCCATAGAAGCATTACTAGGTAGCGTGACGTAAAATTGAGATGTGTTCATCTTCACCACTTGAACAATAATGACCAGATTAATTGTTGAACTGTATTTAAAAATAAAGTTCATAGTAAATCACTCTCAGGTACCCAGCTGTTAAATTCTTGAGGCCATCCAAACCACTTAACAAGAACCTCTGTAATCCCTTTATTTTTCCTTTTGCGAATGATCTTTTCGACGCGATAAACGTTGTCTTTTTTGTTGACTTTTTGTAACTCCTGCTCATAAAATCGTCCCTGAATTTCTTCGCCATTAAGATCTCTGATTCGATAGGTTGGGGGGCGTGATGTCTGTCGACTGTCAATTTCAAATATCTCTTCAGACCAACCTGGTAAATACGATTTTTCAAACGCCATCMGTGTTTTGCTAATCCGAACCTTATCACCAATCTTGAAACGAAACTTAACAGGCTTTCTTTCAGCAGGTTTCTTGCTCGATTTTGAAACMTTACKTTTTTTACTGAATAACGTTTCCCACACCCTTTTCTCGTTTCGTTCACTAACGTCTCGAGGTTTCATCTTTATACTACGGTGAGGAGTACCATTGTAAGAAGAAACGAACTGCTGTAAGGCATCAATGTATCGAASGTTACTTTTCCATGTGAAGTACTTGTACATTCGGGTTTTCAGAGTTCTATTGAATCTCTCAATCACCGATGCTTTGGTTTCGTTTTGAGAAGTAATAAACTGAACATYGTTTTCTTTCAGCAATTTCTTAACAGGTCCATTTGCAAACTCAGTTCCCTTATCTGTGTACAAAATACTAGGATGACGGCCATCGGCAAAAATCTTCTTAAAAGCTTCAACTAATGCAGTCGCGTTTTTGTGTTTCAATGGAACAACCCAAGCGTACTTAGAAAACACATCGATRCAAGTTAACAAAAACTTTACATCATCATTTTCTTTGCTGAGGGACTTCATWTCAACCAAATCTGCTTGCCATTCGTGATCCATCCCGTCAACAAGTACTCGATTGCGTTTGATATTTTTTCGAACAGGCTTATGAAGTGTGTACGTGTCTTGTGTTGCCAACCACTTTCGAATCTTTTTGCGACCTATCTTATACTTTCCCTCTTCTTTTACGGCACGGTAAATGGCTTCTACGCCTCCAAAACTTCCAACATGATCGGGATTGTGGTACAGGTTTTGAAGGTAGTCCTCCATCCACACTATCAGGATTATTGATGACGATAGTTCCTCCACAASAGGCAAAACTACAACGAGCGCGCCTACAAAAATTGTTAGCACTAAGTTTAACAGGCGAATCAGGAAAACACGAGTTCATGTTCACTGTACCGCTGCAGACATACTAATGAACTGCTGCGTTGCCCCAACATTCCTTATATCGATATATTAATTTTATTATTTTTGTTTTCATTGGACAAAGCAACAAACAACAACAAAAAATATAAATTCAATGTGTTTAATTGTTTATTCAACAGTTTGACAATTGGTAAAATTGATAATAAAAATAAAAAATAGAGAAAAAATATCAACTAAACAAAACTCATAAGAGTTTTTTTCAATCGTTCGTCCACTGAAGTGGAATGAATACGAGAATAAAACCAGTCAATGTCATTAAACTTCAGCATTTCCATGCAAGACAACGATGGACTTATTTCTGAAAAGGTATCGAACCACTGCTTTCTAACATTGTTCATGTTCACTGCGGACTTGGCTTCTTCCAAGAACAACTCCACCTGTCCACTGTAGGATGTCATCAGACACAAATCATGGTCTTTCTGACTTGGACAAGTGTTCTGACATCCAAAGCATTTCTTATCAATGATTTTCTTTATCTCCTCGTCAATGGCCTTCGCGTACACTATCCACAGCTTTTCTTCTATCTCTTTTTGTCGCTCCGACATCTCTACTTCGTCAACTAAGAAGAGCCTTTTTCTGATACCAGGTGGTGGAATCTTGACTCTGAGTTTATTCTTTACAATCTGTTTCGGTGCTGGCGCATTCACAATAGAATTTTCCTCTTTCTTACTTTCTTCTTCTTCTTCTTCTTCTTCTTCTTTTCCTTCTTCGTTTTCCTTTTCACTTTTCTTTACGCGCTTTGGTTTTGGTGTTTCATCTTCTTCTTCTTCTTCTTCACTCTCAAGATGGTTCCTCTTTTTGTTGTCTTCCTGTCTTTTAGCGTTATCCAAGTAGCTCAGCAGAGGATTGATCATATCATCATCGTCAAAATCTGGACCACCCTCATAGTCTTTGAAGGCAACCGTTTTCCATCCATTGTCTCGTTCTTCAACAACAATATAGTAGTTGTCCTCTAGTAATATCCACATATTGATTTCAAAATAGAACTTGGAGTTGAATGTYGTTGACTGKTTTTTCTGGAAACAGATTGTGCTGTTTCGAATGCCTTTTGCTCTTTTATACTCTTCCAACATTCTTCACCGTTAATCGGATTATACGTCCAAGAATGCAGAGAAGGGAGGGGTGGATGGTATACATTCTTCACCGATAATCGGATTATACGTCCAAGAATGTCTAAGGGGGAGGGGGGATAATATACATTCTTCACCGGTAATCGGATTATACGTCCAAGAATGTCTAAGGGGGAGGGGGGATAATATACATTCTTCACCGGTAATCGGATTATACGTCCAAGAATGTCTAAGGGGGAGGGGGGATAATATACATTCTTCACCGGTAATCGGATTATACGTC